TACTTCATAAAGAGGAATGTTTTTATCAATTTATTCGAATCCAAAATAATATCTAGCTAAAGTTCCTTTAAAATCAAATTTTTTAATTTATATTACTTTAGATAACATCTTTTGAAAATTGTAGGTTTTTAAATTTATTTATCTCGAGAAAATTAAGAATAGTTAAGTTTTGCTCTTGAATTTTCTTATAAGAATAGATTGTAATCATTTTCCTTTTGAAACAAATACTAAAAGTTTCCAAATTCTTGTCTTATATTATTAAACAGGATTGATTTATTAATTTTCAATAAAAAATATTACATTCTAAACAAAAACCCAATAGATAAATTCAAGAAACATAAATTTAAAAATAATTACATAAAATTAACCTTTATTTTGGAATTTTTATTATAATTCTATAAATAATTTTTTTTGAAGATTATCTTCGTATACAATCAAAGAAAAGTTTTAGAATATAAAATCACCCAATATTAAATGTATTACATTATTAATAGATCTTATTACCAAAAATGATAATATTCTATTAATTATTTCTATTATCGAAAGTCTTAATTTAATTCAATGAACATTTAATTATTTCAATAGAAAATGCTAATTAAAGGTATTAATATTGAGAATTGAATTATCTTGAGAACTTATGTATTATACAGAACAAATAACATAGAATTAAGCTATCAATTCTAGTAATAGAATAGAATTATGATTTAAACATAACTAAGTTAATTTTTTAGTAAAAAAGTTGATCAATTTCAAAACCTAATAAAATGTTATTATGAAATTTATATTGTTATGTATATGCTATACAAATAATTTTAATCATTGTTGAGTATTAAATTAAGAGAGAGAAGATTGCTGATTATTGAATATCATTTAGGATTCAGGAGATTCCAAAATGTATTCCCTAATTTATAGATTTAAGTATTACTTATCAAATAATAGTTTTTCTGAATCAGAAGAGATGCTACTCTTAATATCAGAACCACTTTCAGATAAATAATGTTCATTTTAAATTTCTATAACAATAAAATTAAACATTACTTTCACATTCTTTTATAGCTTTCGCAAAAATAACTGCTCGAAGACTATCATAGCCAAATGAGGAATGAAGAGACATTTTTCAACTTTCAAATTATTTAGGTAATTATTTATTGAATTTCGTTTTTGATTTTTCTAAAAATACAAAATTAATACGAATGAAAAATGCGTAATTTATTAAATAATTGCTCAAAAGAAATTATTTATTTAAAGCTTGTTATTTCTAGTAATCAATCATTGATTTAATTGATCATCATCATAATACAGATGTCAAAGTTTTATTAAATGATTTAAAAGTGAATGGATATATATATATTAATTTATAGCTCGATAAGTTTGATTTAATCAGAAATCAGAATAGATTAATCATCCTAGACATATATAAATAATTTGATTTAATTAAACTTCACTTTCTTTATTTTATATATAAATTAAAAACTAATTTTCATTTAATCTTGCTAAAGTCAAATGGAAACCCTTTTAAAATGATTATTTAATGTTTCTTAATCTAATAAAAAGATTGAATAACAGAAAGAAATTTAAATTCAAAATTGTTTGATATTACCAATTTATAATTATGGATTATCAAGATTATCATTGAATAGAAGAATTTTATTAATTCTTATAAAATGATGATCTGTTTAATAATTTAAATTGATAATCTTGCTTGTTAAATTTTACAAATTTTTTGAATAGATTGAAGTTTGATAACTTTGCAAAATTATATTTAATAAAAATAAAATGCAACATTTCAAGCTTTGAAACATTAATTAATACTTTAAACATACATAGAAATCAATTAATTTCAAATGATTTGATTTAAGTGATTATTTGATATTTTGAAAAGATTAATTGCAAAAAGGAAAGTTAAAAATAATCCATTTAAGGTTTTTATTGATACATTATTATTATTTTTAAGATTAGTAAGAAATAGTTCGATGATTTGGAGATAATCACCAATAAGAAATTTATTTAATTTTTTTTCATGATAACTTTGATAAGCATTGTATAGTTTTTCTTTAAAAAGATATAATTGAAAGTAATTAAATACTTTGAGGCTTTCATGTTTAAATTTATATCAAAATTGGCAATGATCTTGGTATGGTTATGCTATTTCTACGTCTATCATTGAGTTAACTATCAGTTTTCCATCGGTGGATGTATTTCAAGGCAGAATGAGTGATGATTTCTATTGGATTTACATAAATAGGTTTGGAAAATGTTTCAGGAGTTTCGAGATTCAAAAAACCGTCTACGTCACTGGTATAAAAATTTATATGACTTCTTTATGAATCATCTATTTCTTCTATCATACTTAAGGTTGATTTGAAATTTTGGAATCCAGTATCAAAAATATGCAATTCACTTTTAATTTTATCAAATTAATCTTTAAATTAATGTTGTTTTTAATGATGCAATTCATAATATTGTTCTAAAGTTTCATGATTACAAAAATAAATGAGGTTTTTATTTACATTAACTAAACATGGAATTAATTCTTTAATATTTTGCTCTTATTCTAAATCTCCAACTGTATATTAGACATTAATTTAAGTTCGCTATTTTATTGTCGGCTTTACTTAATTATTTTATTGTTCTGATATTTCAATTGATTTCTTGCGATTATTGTTATTTTAAGTTTCAGCACTTCTCCACTTTAATTTATTTAACACAGCATCTATAGCTTACTTTTAAATATCAGTTATTTCTGGTCCAGTATATCCAGATAATAAATCATCCAAGTTAGTAATTGATCCATTTTAAGTTTAACTATAAATATAAATTTAAATATTACAGGTAAGGCAAATCTTTTTCTCTTTTTATAAGACTATTAAATCGATTTTTTAAATTATTCTCACTTCTTCTTCCCTCCATAATTTTAGAAATTTCTGCCCATCTTCTTCCTATTTCTTTTACTGTTTACAATAATTTAATATCTTCTTCATCTGTCCAAGGTTCTCTATTTTTATTAAAAAATAAATGATACTTTGAAATTTTAGGATTGAGATGATTTAACCACCTTTCTCGACATTGTTTACTAGAGCGATAAACAGATGAATTTTGATTTAATTCTTATGAAATTTGACTCCATTTTTAACCCTGATCAATGGATTAATAATGCATAATTATTTCATATAATTTTTTATCTTCTTCTGGTCTAAAAGGTTGTTATTATAAAACAACCTTTTACATTTAAGCCCATTTTAATTTACATTATTCTTTATCTCTACGACATATCATCTTTGAAACTTCTTCAAAAAGTTCAGTAGACAAATCTCTTAGGTCTTCATTTCTTAATTAGCTAAGTTTGCCAATAAGCCAAATTAAGACTTTTTTTTCATTAAGAGTCCAATTTTTCTTGAGATTAGAATTCCAACCACTTGTAGTAAGAATGTCTAGTTATATCTAATTGATTTCTTCATCAGTTGGAAATTGAGCGAGACCCAAATTAAAGAATTCTTTCATGTATTCAAACTTAGTAAAAGTGGTGTTCTAAGCTTGAGGATAGAAAATTTGGAATTCTTAATAGAAATTATTATCTTATGAATCTGAATTTTTTCTTTACGATATTGCTGTTTTTAATTTGCTTTTAGATTTCTTTCTATCTGCTAAGCTTTTATTTCTTTTACTCATATAATAATTATTAATGAAAATAAGAAACTATATACATTTCATTTACTCTTGGTCTTTAATCTACTCAATTTCTTGCTTCCATTTTTATCGAATAAATATAAAGTGATAGCAATAACAAAGTTAAAGCAACTAACACCAACAAAGAAATAGGATTAATAAACATATCTAAAATAAAAGTATTTAATAGTTATTACCCTTGAAATGGATCTACTTATCCTTACTCATTAATAAGATGACTATTATATAAGCTTCCAGTAATGAGAGGAAATAAAGCTAAAGCTGTATTTTACATAACACCTAATAATCCAAAAGCAGTTCCTAATAATTAATATTATAGAATATAATACCAATCATTTATGATTTAACAACTAATGGAATAGAGGGTATTAAAATTGCAGAATAAAAAGAAAAACAAAGGCCTAATGATAATAAAGGTAGAGCTGATACTCCACAAGCAGACTAGTAAAATATCAATTTGATAGAATTACATTACAATATATAAGTAACAGACATAAATGAGTGATAATAAAGATAATAGTAGTTAAGACAATTAATAAGGATCTTTATCTAATTTTATCCCCATATATTCCTACAAATGGAGTTACACATGCTGCAAATACATATGGAATTGTTAGTAAAACACCTGCAGATTATTAACTAAAACCAAATTTAACTTAAAAGAACGCATTTCCATTATCTAAAAAAGGAACAAAAAGTGCTTCACTTAACATTATAATGCATGATAATATCCAATATGATCCATCTAAATATTTTAAATCTGATAATTTAATCTCTTCTTTTGTCTCATGATTAGTTACTTCTTCTTCTTTATCATCCTCTTTATCATCATCATCTTCATCGTCTAATAATGAAATTGATCTATCACTTTCAGTAGATTCACTTTTTCTAATCTACAAACTCATTTCTTAAGCAGAGGATACTTCTTTAATATCATTATTGACTTCTATCGGATTCAATTCTTTCCATAATTTCATTAATTCTTCATTTTTTTTATCTAAATAGATCAAAACTAATCCACAAAACCATGAAAATATCACTATAAATAATCCTACTAAAAATGTAAATCCTAACTCTCCATGATTTGCTTAAATCAAAGGACTTACTAAACTATTCATAGCACTTCCTAATTTTGGAATTGATAAACATAAACCTAAAGCTAAACTTACTTATCCTCCTTAAAACCATTAAGACATTATTGCTGCTTATGCTGCATTCAAACTTTCTGATCCTATACCAAATATACATCTGCCAGCTAACATTGTTCCATATGATAATGTATATCCACCAATCACTACTATACTCTATCCCAATATTAATATTGATGAAAATATCAAGATACTTACTCTTACTCCTATTTTATCAATTAAAATTCCACCAAAAAATGGTAATATGATATTTGGAGCTGAATATATTGAATAAAGCATATTGAATTAAACATTATTAAGATTCATTTCTGTTTGTATTGTTGATTATAATGCCATTGGATTATCAAAAGCATATGCATCTCCAAATAATAGAAAGCAAGCTAATCCAAGTGCTAACCATTATACCCATGTCTTTTATAAAGGTAATTTATAAAGAAACGACTACTTGCTCTCTTTTTCTAATTACATAATTAATAATCTTTATAATTCATTTATTAAAATTCGAACCACTCTTCCATTATGTCTATGATCTACTATCACTTGCATCATCTAATTAAAATGGATCAGCAACTATATGATGAGCATTTGTTCTATTCTTACCATTAAAATTGTTCCCAAGTTCAGGACTGGAATTATCATCTTGTAAATTTATATCATCAAATTCCTCCTCTTATTCTTCCTCATCTTCCTCTTCTTGTTCTTCAGATTAATAACTAGGTTCATCTAATTCTTTATTTATAGTCTCAGGTGCAACTTGAGCATTAAATTTCCTTTATACATTACTCTTTATTTTTAATTAATCAGCCTCTTTTTTTCCATAAAATTCCATAAACTTTTGAACAAAATCTTCAACAAATCTTTATTCTCCATAAAACATTTCTCTATCTACCAAATATAATTAAATAACTGATTTTGTTGTGATATCATAACTTACTTAAAATACTGAAACATAGAAAAATCCAATTAAGAATACAAATAATGTAGGTATTAAGGGACTTTCAATATCATTAACATTGATTCCCAAAAGTGTAGTATCACTTATAGAAAGGTAAATATAAATTGGTAAGCTTACAATGAGACTGTTGGACAATTTTAATAGAAAGAGTATAAATTCAATGAGAAAATCTAAATCATGTATTTTTTCTTTATGTCTATCTAATAAAAAGAATGCCTTTCTGGAAGATAGACTATAGCCTTCAGACCAGATGGCAACTTAAACTAAAGTATGTTTGCTTAAATATCTTAAACAATTTTGATAGCAAGCAAGACAGCAAAGACAACATCCTTGAATGAATCTAACAATCATGGAATCTTAAGGTAAGCTACTAAGGAAATAATAGATGGTATAAAATATCCATTTGGGGATAAAAAAGAATATTTCCATAAAGACAGCATAAACACAAGTTCCAAGATGATGGAGTAATAATTCTCTAAGTACAACTAATAATGGTATTTAGACAACATCTTTTTTTTTGGTGAAAAACCAAACACTTAAAGCATATGAATTAAACATTTCATTGACACTCATTGCAAATAATAAAAAGAAGAGAATCATGAAAGCCTAAAAAGGCAATGAAAGTTAATAGATTTAAGTGGTAGTAAATATCTTGACAGCATCTCCATTAATATTGAGTGCTTAAATAGTATTTCTTTCTCCTATAGTCATTCCATAGAAGATAACATAAACAGAGTATCCAAATTAAAAAAATCCAAAAATTGCAACAAAGATAGCAAAAAAGCGTAATTATTTAAGAACAACAACAATTTAAGCAGAAGTCTTAATAAGACTAATTCCCAAATTGATTTTATTGAATAATTTCATGATATTAAAAAGGAATAGTAATCCTACACTAGCAGTAGCAATACACGCTAAATAAAATAAGGTTGCTCTATCACCTCCACAATAGTGTTTATCAACTTTATATAAACATCTAGTTTCAATAACTCTTTCATATTCTCTATAAAACAAAAAAGAAAGTACTCCAAAACATAAAATACTTAACCATATTTATCCCCAAACTTAATACTTAACAATCGATGGGAAACTTAATAAATACGTTAATAAATATGCTGATAATCCCAATAAGATAATAGACAATATAATAAGATCAAGACTTAATAAAATATCAGACATAGTTCGTTTGATATATGATTCAGTTTAACTTAAATAATCATCTACGATTTTTCTGCTTACTGGTTCTTTTGGAATACAATATCTTGCCATTTTAGTTGAACTCATTTAAACATAACAAAAGTTAGTTGTAGTGAAATGATCAATTGAATATAAACATATATATTTTCCTGTAGATTAAGGACATTCATTAACACACATGGCTACATTCAAATCTACTGATGGTTATAGATAATATAAATAAGGTAGATTAATTAAACCATCTATTCCACATATCTCTTCTCGAAAATCATAACCATTTGATATTCGATTAATGTTTCCATAACTGATCAATACGATTCCATGAAATACTGTTGCACAAAAGAATACAATTAAGAAAAACAAACATAATCGATCTGTCATTGATCTCTCCTCTTAATTTAGTTAATCAAAGTACTCTTTGGTCCATTAAATCCTTCATAAGGTCGCATTCCTTAATTTAATGGGTTGTTTTAATCAAGTCTCTTATACAGTTCTATTCTTGATAACTAATCTGCACTATCAAATTAAGGTTTCACTTTCTTCATTATCGCTGCCTTATTTCTTTTCACCGATATTTTCCTTTTCATCTCTTTTTATTACTAATAATATATATATAAAACAAACTATTCAATATCCACATTCAAATTATGCTGAATTTCATACCGAAATACAACTATTATCAAAGATTAACTTAACATATGGTATTGTTCAATCTAACCAGACAATTAGAAAAACTCTAGATCGTGAAAATAGAAAACCTAAGAAATGGCTATAAAATTATTTTGTTCCATTCATTCCCAAATGGACTTCAAGAATTATTGATAACAAAAAGAAATCTATATTCTTTCTACTTTGTTTTGGCTTATTTACCTATTATGAAGGGTTCTAATGTAAAATATATTTCTATTTTATCTCAGATCTTCACAATAAAGTTCTACACAGAGAGCCTTTAAAAAATAAATTTTAAAGGTGGATTTTCAATGTTAAGAATATACCAAAATAATCCTTGACAGAATTTTAGCCAATTAATACATTAAATTAAAATACCGTCAATTAATTAAAAGAGATATATTTAAAATGTGAATCAGAAATGAAATATGGAATGTCTAGAAAATTAATGTATGAAATTTATGATTCACTACATCTATTCTAAAAAGATGAAGAGAGAATAGGATTTTATAGATAATCAGGTTATTATAAAAAAGTAACTATTATATATATATATATTTTTATAGAGAAATTAAAAAGTCTCCAGTGTTCATTTCTCTTAATTTGTCAAGATTTTTGAAGATGCTTTAAAAAAATTAAATAAAAAAGGAAATATTATTACAGAATCAGAATTAGTATCTTAATTTATTTAATTATGCTTAGAAAAATAAGATGAAGTAATTATATTTCTTTATCAAATTTTATAGATTAAAAAATGGGAACTAAAAATATAATAAAAAAGAGCTGAATATGTTAAATTGATTCCTGAATTATAGGAATAAAAATAAGGTTTGATTAGATAAATTATGAGTGAAAATCCATATGTAACTGAAGAATACATATAAAAAGAAGTATTATCTATTTATAAATAATTAATAGCTTGAAAATAAGGGTCTATATGGATTGGGAACTAAAGATAAACTATAAATTTATGATCTATAGTTATCTCTTCATAAGGTATTGCTTGATAACAAAAAAGCAAAACTAGAGAACAGTATGCTTTTTGGATAATCAATGTTGAGTTCAGAAAAAGAAAAAAGATTAATTAAAAAAATAATGGATGAAGAACAAATAGTAGAATAACTTTAGGCGAAGAGAAACAATATGGCTGAAAAGTTTAAGGTGTTATTTAAGAAATAAGAGATATTTGATATTTGATTAATAAAATAATAAAAAATTAAATGTCTGAAGAACAATAAGAATTCGAAGGCTAAGAAGGATAAGAAGGAATGCCTGAAGGACAAAATGAATAATAGTAATAGTAACAATAACAAAATCAAACATAACAAAAATAAAAGCCTGTAGTCCCAAAAAGAGATCCTCCTTAAGAAGGTGCAATTGTCTTCGATTTTGAAGTTTGTAAGGATTGTGCTTCTCATGCTTGGTGTACTCATCATGATGAAAATAAATATACTTAATTATATTTAGATTGCATGGCAGGTAATCATTATTACAATAATTATAGAAATTGAAGCTTAAATTCCAAATTCTTATTGTACTTATAATGCTAAGAAGAACCCCGGAACTGGAGCTTTCGAAATTTCTCATAAAGGTAAACAGTTATATAAATTATTAGGAATTGTTATATTTTCAAAGAGAAACTCATAATTATTCCCTTAACCTAAACTTTTACCTGAAAGAATAAGATAATTTTTAGATGATTTGGAAAATAAAAGAGATGTATCTAAATGGGCAACAAAAAAAGAAACAAAATAAGAATAACCAAGACAAATTAAGGAAAGACCTACCTTTTAAACTTATATGAAATAAAGAGAAGAATAAGAGAGATTGGCTAAAGAATAAAAACTAAAATAGGAAGAAGAAGCAAGATTAAAATAAGAATAAGAGGAAAGAGATAGATTAGAAAGAGAAAGATAAGAGGAGGAATAAAGAAAAATTGAAGAAGAAAAAAGAAAATAAGAAGAATAGAGATAAGCAGAAGAAAAAGCTGCTGCTGAAGAAAAGGAAAAATAGGAATAAGAATAAAAAAAACTTGAATAATAATAAGAAGAAGCCAATAAAGAACATCCTGAGTAAGAATAACAATAAGAAGGAGAAAAATAACCAGAATAATGATCATAATCAGCAGAATGAGATTATAACATTAAAAAAACTATTTGTTCATTATCTTTATCTTAATCACATTAAGTTGCATTTATTGTTATAAAATAAAAACATATACAATTAGATAATTAACCTCTTATTATTGATTACTTCAAATTCCATGTTAATTTAATATTATTGATTTTAAATTATATTATTTTTAAGCTTTTATATATGCATTAGTAGAAACTACAATCTACTTGCCCTCATTTTTAAAGAATCATTCTTTAAAGAAGCATTCCTTAAGTTCATAAATCTCTTTCTTAATTATTAGTACTATTTATTCATGGATATCAAGGTTTTTTTCAGAAATAAGTAAATTAAATGTGAGATTTGTCAAAGAAAACAAGATTATTTAAATATTTGTTTGAAATGTGAAAAGCCATTATGTGACATTGAAAAAATATGCTCTGCAGAACATTTAAAATGTAATAAATTGTTTAATAAATATTTAGTAAATAGTCCAGAACATTGTGTGATAATTAATATCCACTCAAATTTAATTGCATGTTTAATGTGTAAATTAGAAATTTATGATTTTGAGCAAACCTAATAAAATGAAGAAGATCAACATATGGAAGAATTAATCAATCCATAAAAAATTAGAATGGAATATCATAAATTCTTTTATAAACAAGAACCTCACAACATCCAATTTAAAAATAAATAAAATGTGTAGCATGCTGGAATGCTAAACATTTGTAATAACAGTCATTTAAATTGTGTTTTATAAATATTACTAAACTATCCTGTCATCTAATAAATACTTCAAAAAATTAATAATGAATATGAAATAAATGAATATAGTTTGAAATCTAATCGTAAATAGATTTTAAGAGAATTAAGTTCCATGGCTTAAGTTTATTCATAACATTAATATAGGATAATAAATCCAGCTAAAGTTATTAAAAATCTTTCTAAATTGGATGCCAAAATTATTGGATATTCAAGAAAGGATGCATATGTAATCATAATATAATACAAAAATTAGGATGCATTCAAGACCGTTATCAATTTTTTAAATGAAGAATTCAAATTCTCAAATTTGAAAGCATACTTTAAAAATAATCTGATCTATACAAAATAACCTCTTGGACATGATTGGAACATAATGTACACTCTAAAAAGTAGTTAGTGCTGATCCTAGTTCATATATGGAATATTCTTTTATTCAAAGCATATTCTCTGGAGAACTAATTTCTACCCTTCAATGTTTGAATTGTAAAAAAATTACAAAGTCTGTTGAATAATTCTCAGCGTTATCCCTAGAGCTCCCTGAAATTAAACAACAAGGATTTTTTAAATAATTTGTCAATAATTAAAAACACTCTATTACATTATAAGAGTGTCTTGATTATTTTTATGAACCAGTCATTGATTCATTAACTCTCTGTAGTTGTGGTGCAAGATCAGGTAAAAGATAATATAGCTTTTAACAACAATCTAATTTATTATGTATACATTTACAAAGATTCTTGAATAAAAATTAAAAAGATAAAAAGCATGTATCTTTTCCAATTAAGGATCATAACTTTTAAGAATATTTTAATGTAATATTTTATTTAAATAAATAATAGCTAGAATGTGAATAGAATTATAGACTTTTTGGAATAGTCGTGCATTTACATGACTTAGGGGGAGATCATTTTGAAACTATCTTAAAATTTCAAAATTCACAATTTATTAGCATTAAAGATGAAATCATTGAAATAGTTTCATAAAAGTATGTGGAAGAATGTGAAGCGTTATTATTATTTTATGAAAAAGTAGATAATTAAATTGATCTCTTTAAAACAAGTCTTCGAAAAAACTTATAAAATTAACATAAAATGATAGCAAATCAAGAATTGTAATTAAAAGATGATGAATTATGTTATTTACCACATTTTTGGTATGAATAATTTTTATATCTTGCGAAACCACCATAAATAATTACATCTCATTTAATTTGCCCTCATAATCTCTTAAAACCAGATTATTGGGATTACAGAATAGAATATGAAGTAAAAATATACTTATTATATTAAGAATGCTAAATCAGTTTAATAAAATTCTCAATTAGATTCTAATACAAGTTTTATAACAATAGGTGAAGTATAGAATTCTAATTCTCCTGCTTACATTTTTGAGAGTTCTGCCTAAAAATAGTTACAACTCACATCTATCATTATTCCTAAGGCAGTTTGTGAATTTTTAATAGAAAAATATGGAGGAGGTCCAATTATTGAAAAGAATATTAAAACTTGTAGTGCTTGTATAGAATATGCATAATAAATGAGTAGAAGAAGAAAATTAGAAAGACAACTTATTATTAAATATGAAAATCTTTAAGGTTATGAAAGAATCTTTGTTGTTCACGAAGAGTGGTTAAAAAAATGGCAAAATTACCTTTATAATTCAAAATCTATTTTACAAAAACATAGTTTATTTGGTTATCCTCCTCCTGGAGAAATATCTAATTATTTATTATTAGATAAAGATTAACAGATTATATAATAAAAGAAGGAAGGTTAACATTTTCTTATGATCACTGCTCCAATATGGCATATTCTATAAGAAATATATGGAGGAGGTTAATTATTCAAAATAAATTAGGTCCAACTATTTCAATTAATCCTTTTCAATAACAATATGAACCATTTAAATTATAAATCGATGATTATCTTTAAATTAAAGAGCTCAAAACCTTATATCAAAATTGTATCAATCAATATAAATCTGAAAATTAGCAATGATGCAAATGTTTATAAATTTTATAAAATTATAAATTAAATCATAATAATACATTAAGTGATCTTCAAATTAAAACTTTAAGACATTAAAACTTTCTTAAAATTTCTAAAAGTAGTTATTTAAAAATGTTAAGAATATATTAAATAAATATATAAAAATAAATCAAAATATAAAATCTGATATATTAAATTTTAATAGTTATTGATGCGAAGCATTTTTATAATTATAATTATGCCAAATTAAAAAATCTCATTTGAATGTTGATTATATTAAACATATATAATGTAGAAAATATAGCCAAAATAACTAATTAAATCAATTTTAAAGAAAACGATAAGTTTATTGTTTAAAAATATTAAAAATATATTTTTTTATATCTTTTAGTAATTATTATATTTTAAAGATTTGCATTATCGATTGAAATATAAACGACAACGTTGAAACAATATAAACGATAACATTAATATATAATACCCAAAATTGTAGAATTTTATCAATTAATTTAATTTAAAAATGAAAATATGTTTGATAATCTCTGGTAAAGTGTTAACATGATTAAGTTATCATATTAAATATATTTTTGTTTCGTAATCATTAATTTTATTAAATCAAATAATTTAAGATAACAGCAATAAATGGGAAATTGTTGTAATGGCGGAGGATAAGTTACAGATAAAATTGTGTAGCTAGATGTGAGTTAAAATGTATAAGCAAAGAAATAAAACTCAGATATGATAAATGAAAAAGCTATATTAAAAATATAAGGTATTATAAAACATAGTAATTAAGCTCATGGTAGAGGTTATTTAACTAGAAAGAGAATGAAAAAAATAAAGAAAGAAGTGAAATATGAAAATAAAGAATCATAACATGAATCAAGTAGATCAAAGAACTAGAATAATAATAAAAATGGTTAGTATAAGGATACTGCTTAAGAACCTAAAGAAGAAAGCTATAAAAATTAGGTTGATTTGATTAAGGTTCATGCTCCAAGTGAGAAATATAAAAAATTAGATAGAATGCCAGATTATTTGACACCTAAAACTAAAAAAGTATAAGAGAGTATTGAGTTTTAGGTTTCTGATAAAATTGAGCCTTTTGTTTATGATTAAGATAAAGATGAATTTAAAGAATTACCGTTTTTAGAACCATATGAATTGGATGGAGGAAGTGTTTATAAAGGATAATGGAAGAATGGGTAAATTTAAGAAATAAATATAATAATAGGCTTCGACATGGAAGAGGTACTCAAATTTGGCAGGATGGATCAATATATGAAGGATATTGGTACTAGAATGTTGCTTGTGGGAAAGGAAGATTGATTCATGCTGATGGAGATAAATATGAAGGAGAATGGAAAAATGATAAAGCACATGGATATGTAAGAATGTAAAATAATAATATTAAGGGAAAATACGTTCATATGGATGGAGCATAATATGTTGGTTATTGGGAAGATGATAAATAGAATGGAATCGGTAAAGAAATATGGCCAGATGGTGCTAATTATGAAGGATAATATAAAAATGGAAAAAAACATGGCAAAGGTACTTTTAAATGGGCAGATGGATCAATTTATATTGGAGAATTTGATTAGAATAATATTCAAGGTTAAGGAGAATATTAATGGGAAGATGGAAGAAAGTATGTTGGAGAATGGAAGAATAATAAAATGGATGGAAAAGGAGTAATCATATTTATAGAATTTATCTAAGGTTTTCACTTGGCTTGATGGTAGAAAATATGAAGGAGAATATAAAGATGATAAAAAGCATGGTAATGGAGAATTTAAATGGCCTGACGGAAGAGTATATAATTTATTACTTTATTTAGATGTATAAAGGTTAGTGGGCTAATGGAAAATAACATGGTATTGGATTTTATATTGGTTCATCTAAAGTTGAAAAGGAAGGAGAATGGTAAGACGGTAAAAGAATTCGTTGGATCAAGAAAGGGGAATAACCAACTAAAGAAGAAGGAAATTGAAATTCTCTAAGTTTATAATAAATTTTTATTGTTCTATCAACTTATATAAAATGCAAATTTACAAAATGCATGACTTATTATTCATTATTATATATTCAAAATAAATTAACTTAAAATATGATAGTAATTAATAATTTTAATCCAATCATTTTACCCCGTTTGATTAACTTATATTCAATTTCATTTACAAATCTCTTTTACGTAAATTATTAAATAATACATTATGAAAACTCATGAAAAACATCAACTACTGTTGTGTAAATTTTAAACTGATACTCTCCACAAAGAAAAGCTGAATCAATAAATTCAAGTAATATCTCTACTTATTCATAGGAAAATTACATTATTTCAAACATTTCAAGGATTGAATAAAAAACACAAATCCACACAATTTAAGCATCTCAATGTGACTTCAATACTAAATGTATGAAATTATTCATATAGTTTAAGAATCTTTTTAAGAATAAAAGGATGCTCATTTAGAAAATAATAAGAAGTTCTAAGAACAATCTTATTCTAATTATAATGATCTATCATCAAAATGTCATTTATTGAAAAATAATACAGAGCTCCCTAAATTATCATAAATGTCCATAAACCAACAATTAATAGACGACAACTTAAGCTGTACATCTTAAACTTCATCAGTGTATACATTTATAATAATATTCAGTAGTATATAAGTCGAAAAACAAAAAATATCAATTCAAGCAAAGAAAAGAATTAAGAAATAAAAGTGCACCAAACTTGAAGTTGTTAATCAATCAGGCAGTAGAAAATAGACTAATGTAAATCACAAAGTCTAGAAAAGAGAACAAAAATCAATTCCAAACGATTTACCATTTTAAAATGAAAAAGAGGAGATTATATCAGTTCCATTTTTAGAAACTATTATTCACTAAGATGTGAAAGAAAAAAGTAAATATTAGTTTTACTCTATATTTTAGCATTCATATTTTCAGATTAATACTATATGCATAATTTATTTGGCTATTTAATGGGATATCTAAAAGATAGCTTTATGGCCTAAATGTACATAAACCACTTTTCTCAATTATATGATAATTTGTAAAAATCAAAATTAATTGAATGCCCATAAGATTATACTTTGTCCTGCAAAATTTAACCTTAAAAAAGTATAAAATTTAATTAAAATCAAGAATTATAGAAGACCCTAATAATAGATTTAGATGAAACATTAGTACATTGTAATGAGTATAGTTGTTTAAAGAGTGATTTTTTCATTCCAATGAGTTATAATGAAAAGATCTATTAGGTATGTTAAAATATTTATTGTAGGTTGGAATAAGTATAAGGCCTTATGCTTAATAATTTTTAAAAAATATGGCTATGGAATATGAAATCATGATTTTTACTGCTTCTAATTCAGATTATGCGAATAAAATTATTGATTATTTAGATCCATAACGAAACTTAATATCATATAGATTATTTCGTGATGATTGTATTCGAATATCAAATAATTGCCACATAAAAGACTTAAGAATACTGAATAGGAATATGAAAGACATAATTTTAGTAGATAATTCGGCTTATTCATTTGCATTTTAAGTGGAAAATGGGATACCGATCATACCATATCTAGATGATAAAAATGATAAGGTATATAAATCAATATAATAATATAGGAACTAATACATTTATAACATTATCTCAACCATGTAGTCTAATTTGATGATGTTCGTAGCCAAAACAATAGGATTTTTAACTTGAAAATAGTGCAAAATTGTGTTTCGATTTCTGAGGCTGTAAAGCAGTTGAAAGCCTCGATCTCAAAATGATCAATTTTGTGAATAATAGCTTTTATTATTAATTATAATTATGTAATTTAAAAAAATTGAGAGATTAATTCTTAAAAATAATATATAATGAAAAAAAATCAAATATTTACTAAAAGTATAAATATCATACGAGATCATAAGTATGAGTACAGACCTTCTTAACAATCAGCATCAAAATCTTAATAAGAATCAGATGAGGAGAATGAAAAAATGTACTCATCCTAAATTATGAAAAAGGATATCAGAAAAAAAATTATTAAAATTGAGAATCATAATCAATAAGGAAATGTATAAACTCATCATCAATAACCGAAAAAGAAACAGATTTTAAATATTAGCAAAGGGGGTATGTTGATATAATGAATAATATATTAGAAACAAAATAACAACATTAATAATAGCCAAAACGAGAAGGATCTTTTCCAATATTTATTAGAAATTTAAAAGAAGGATTCACATCAAATGAATTAAAATAAATAATCGATGATGATTCTAACATTTTAGGAATCTAAGTAAAATTAGTTAGTAATTTAGATTAACAATAAATAAGCTACTGTAACATTTTCTAACTAATACTCTGCTGATAAAGCAATAGGTATTTTTATTAAATTTAATATTCTTAGAATGCATTAATAATTACAAAGAAAAAGGCTATCAAATGAGTGCTGTGGCAAATTATCAACAATCCAGTAAAGTCATCGTTTTAGGGTAATTCCAATAAGGAAGAGGATTGAAAGAAGATGGAAGATTAAGAATGGATACCAAAGAATCAATATTTGATAGAATTCAAACCAAGTAGCAATGAGATATTCAATCTTATTCATTATTTCTATAAAATGAAAATTAATTATAAAGAGTAGATTTTTAGATAGCTTTTTGAAATCTATTTCCATTTGGCTAAGGAAGATATATATATCAAAATATAAATATAACATTATTTCTATAAATTAAACATATATTTAAATTATGATATAATAGTAAAGATAAGTGCTAAATGATAACGATTTGCATACACTTTTATACAAAGGCTAAATTGGTATCAATCAATTACTCATTTCTAGATTGTCAGGTATGCATTTATTGGATGCACTCTCTATTGCCAATTTCCATAGTCCTGATTCTTAAATCAAAGAACATTTGTTTAAAACAGTCAAATAGAACTACAAGTCCGATTAAGAACTTCCAAAATTAATTTAGAGATATGAATTAACTCTTGCAATTGTAGAAAGCGAATCACTTAATGCAAAAGTAAATTTTAATCACAAATAAATTTTTAGTAATATATTTCTCTATATGCAACAATTATGAAAACTAAGATTAAGGAATTCTTCACAAATTAGAAACATCAACTCTTTTGTAATGTTTATGTTCCTTCAAAATTTACCAGAACTCTAACAATATTTTGTTATAACCCAAATATGACAGGATATTTAGCCTTAGTTACAACTGATCAAATGAATACATTAATTGCTATGGAAGAAATGATGGCTTAGATAGACACATAATAATAAGAGAATTTCTACTCATTTGATTAGATTTTCGAAGATGTAATTCTAAATTTTAATTTTAGAATATAGCAACTTAAATCAATGTTACTCCAGAAAAAGATTAATAAAAATTGGTAAGAAGACATAAAAAGTCACTATCAGAGCACTAAATTTTTGATTTTTAGAGGGAATAAAAGGAATAACAAATAATCACTTAAATTTAATCACTTCCTTAAGATAAAGCATGTAATATATTAATTTATTTATAGTGTTTTTTTCATAAACAAAGTAATAAACTTTTCTTTAAGACGATTATTAGTTCCCTTCTTTAGATTAAATAAATTAATTGAAAGCATTTCCTATTTAGGATGATAAGAAAAAGATTGAATAACAATCATAACCATATTAATAATCATACATTTAATAGAGATTAGATGAAGGAATTCCAAATATAGATGATTTAGAATTCTTTCCCCCTTTAGATTTAGTTTCAACTGCTAGTTGTCCTTCATTAAATAACAAATTAATGATGACAGATTAAAAGAAATAATCTTCAAATCCAATTTATACTGGAAGACTGAAATTTTTTGATGAATAAAAGAATTATGGTTTTATAGTTATGGATGAAGATAAATCTGATATATTTGTTCATTTAGATGATTTACAAAAGGCTGGAGTTACAAAAGAGATTTTAAAGACATCAAAATAAGGCTCATTGTTAAGGTATTTTAGAGGTTTATTATATAGGTTTTAATTTAATTGTATGGTATATGTTGGAAAATATAAAAAATCAAGGAAAGCTGTTGAATTGAAATTACTAGCGAACTAATAGGTTAATAATTTTAAGGGAATTGCCTGATTGAATAATCAAATATATAGGCATTAAAATAAAATTATTTATTTTCAGAATTAATTAATAATTCTACATATATGGTTATAAAAGTACCATTCTGGGTATAATATTGTGCAATTAGATTGCTTTTTATTTATAAACAAAGTAAGAGAATAGAGGCTTGAAAATTTTAGATGAAAGCAATGTTAGAAAACTATACATTTTAGGATTAATTTAAAAATATTAAAAAAAAACTTAATGCTAATTAAGGATAGATAAATTGTTCCTAAATATACATAAAATATCTTATTGTAATACTGTAATAATCTCATTTAGCATTCTTCTTGGCTTCTTATTATTTTTTGAGCTAATTAGCATCCACAAAGACAATAGTCTTGCATCTCTTAATAACTTTCAACCACTTTAATTTACACTTGACGCATTCAAGCCTATTCTCAATATATATATACTTTAAAGCAACTTTTTTAGTAGTCTTTGCTTTCTTTCTGAAAATTGGCTTTGTTTATCCACCATAACCAGCTTGTTTCATGTCGTACCTTCTTCTACCTTATGCAAATGGACTTTCCTTGCTCTTTTTATATTGAGACACTTTGCAACTTTAGTGGTTTCCGCATTTTCTGCAATATGTTTTTCTGTTTTTAGGTACGTTCACCATTTAATATTTTTTAAATAAAATTTAATCATTTTTTAAATTCCTTTAGAATAATAAGTTAATGTTAAACCAATATCCTATAAGATGACTCATACAGTAATTTTTATACAATACTATGTAAAAATATTGTAAAGTCATTCAATTAATATCCTTCAATAAACTGTGTATTTCTTCAGCCGAATAATCTGGGTACTGGGGTTTAATAAATGTCTATGAATTGGATCTCCTTAAAGGAAAGGCTTACTCCTTTTTTTTCATATCATCAGCTGACTTATTCCTAAAAAGCTAAAACATTATAAAAACACTCTTTCTTCATATATTATTGATCCAATTATAGTAGAAACCAAAGGTTAAGGAGATTATTCTTTTCCTATTATTGAATCTGTCAATATTATAACATCAGGTTCCTATTTATGTTTTTACATTTTTTTTAGGTTTTATTTTCTACTTTTAATATTTCTATCCTCCGATTTAACCATCAAGTAAAATGCAAAACAAATAAAACAAACCATAAATATACCAATCTATTATTATTTAGATAAACTTATTTCAAAGTAATTATAAAAATAAGATAATTATTCTGTTAAAGTATTCTTAGCTGCAGCCCAATTCGTAATTTCTGATTTTAAATGATTTTTTAAACCATCTTATTAAGCATCAGTTTAATAAAGAGCTAAATCTACATCACTTAATTTTATTTCTTAAGCATTTATTGGTTAAGTGTATTTTGTTCTAAGTTAAATTTGCTTTTTTGGAATAGCAATTACAGTTGCACATAGAAGTAAAATGAAAATAGCTAATCTCATATAAAACGGAATATATTATAATAAAATTATAATATAATTATGAATTCATCTTAAATAATGTTCTTATCAGAGTTCATGAGATATTATAGAATAATGATGTACGTATCATTAAAAAAATAGCAAGATTTATTTGATAATAAGATTTTACTAATGAATAGATTATAATATAGATAATTGAAAATAATTATAAATTAATAATTAAAATGTTAATATTTGCACTATTGTTCATCTCGGTTGAATTTACGTTAGGAAAACTAAAGGTGATTGCTCCAGAAGAGTTAAAATAAGAATTAAGTCAAAACAATGGAGAAATAACATTTAGTATTGCTAATTTTGGGTAAGTTTTGAATATACAGATCAATATAGAAATGTTCCTTGGGGTCGTAGATTAAAAGGAACACTTGATATTTCACATCCTATAGAAGCTTGTTCAGAAATCAATTCGACTGTAAAAAGTCACTTTGTATTAATAAAAAGAGGGAATTGTTCTTTCGTAACAAAAGTTAGGCATGCTTAAAATGCAGGATATTAATTAGCAATTATTGAAGATAATAAGGCAGAAATAATAGACAACATAACTATGTCTGATGATGGAACTGGATATGGAGTAATAGATATGATATAATTTAGTTATAAATCCCTAGTATTTTTATCTCTAAATCAGATGGATAAATTTTAACAAAATATTTAACAATTCCAAAAGCAAACCTCGAAGTAGATTAAGTTCAATTAATAATTAAATTTGATGTTCGTTAATAAGAAAGAGTTGAAGCTTTATTTGCCCTATCTATACCATCAGGAGAAACATATAAATTTATAAGAGAGTTTTAACCTTATTATGAAAAACTAAAGAATGAAAAATGTATTAATTTTAATTTTATTATTCTTTAGTTAACTTCACAATCCTATATCCAGTATATCAGATTGTTTCTAGACCAAATAAACCAATTGAATATCAAAATTGTATATCTTATGGTAAATATTGTTCACAAGATCCTGATGGATCAGGTATTGCAACAGGTAATATGATTGTTGAAGAAACTCTGAGATAATTATGTATTTTTAGTCAAAGCATAGATAAATGGTTTGATTACATGGTAAACATTATTGAAAATTTAGTTATCATTCAGAGATAATTGTACAACAGCTTAAGAATATGAAACTTGCTCTCCTAAAGTCTAAACAGAAGTTGGAATCGATAATTAAAAAGTTGAAAAATGCATAAGAGATTAACAAGTAACTAATCACTTGACGATAAAAAATGAATAAAAATCATATAAGGTAAATAATCTTTTAGAAGAATAATTAACTTTGTGGAATGCTGCTGGTGTATAATAATTACCAGGAATCATCATTAATTATTAAGATTATTTAGGATAAATCACTGGATTAAATGTTTTTTTGGATATTTGTTATAGTTTTTAAACTCCACCAGAAGTTTGCGGCAAACATGTTGATGGCTTAATACTCTAAACAGATTCATCAACAAATCTTTATTTGACTATTGCCATTATTCTTGTAGTTATGATCATATTTTTTGTACTGTTATTCTGTGTTTATACTAAATTAATTAGAAAAGAGTTTAAGGAGAGCAGTTAATCATAAGTCAATGAAATGGTGACTTAATACATTCAATTCTACGAATCCAAAGATAAAAAAAAATAAGATGCTATATGAAAAAATCATAATTTTTTTTTTTAAATAATCGCATTATTATTTTATAATTATCTTAGGTTTTATAAATTCCTCTATTTTTTTCTAAAACTTCACAAGATTATTCATTTTTAGAGTAGAACATTATTTCAACTATTATAATGTTATACATTTAAAATCAAAAAGCATTTTATCAATATATTTTCTTTTTATCATTTTAAAATTTATTGCATCAATTTATAAAGTTTTCAAAATAATAATAATATTTAAATCTAATATGAAACACTGATAAAATTTAAATTGAAATAATAAATCAACTCTAACTTTAACAATTGATTTTATATTGAAAAATAATTGGTTCATATAATAAACTAATATGGTTGATATTAAAGTTCAATATTAAATAAAGCTTTTCTATTAAATATAGATAAATAAAATTAAAAGCAAGCAATGCTGCTTCTTTAATTACATTTATAAATAAATATAGAATTAGTTACTTTATGTTGTAAATAATTAATTAATAATATAAATGATGAAAGTAATTAGCAGAATGTCATCATTAATTCTTAAAAAATCAGATGACATGATTTTATTTGCTCATGACAATCCAATTAAGTTAGGTGAGACATTAAAGTTTGGAAATTCATTAGGAGTAGTCATGTCAATATTTGAGAGAAATTAATTAGCATTATTATTATAACAATCTGAAGTTTTAGAGCCCATCTCACATGTAAATTCTTTAGAGGCTTTTCCTTAAAATTAAATTTGTTCAATTGCAAACATAAAGTAATCAAATGAAGCTGAAACATATAATAAAAAATTACGAAAAAGAGTTCTCCCATAGAATTAAATATTAACACATAATGTGTATATAGATCTCTTTCATCCAATAACCTATGGGCAAATGCTTATCATTAAAAACAAAGAGCTTTTAAATAAGTTAAATGCTTTTGATCAGATTATATATTATGGAAGATCTCCAATATAATAAGCTACTTGGTTTAAATATGCAGAAAATTAAGGTTCCAATTATTTTTTACCAAAATTTGCCTTGTCATATGCCAAATAAGTTGCAAAAACAAATAAAACATTGTTAGTAATGGATTAAATTTATGATCATTTTGTTGCACATTAAAAATTATAAGAAACAATTCAATCTTATGTATATGAGAAAACCACAAAAACCGTTTACTTATCAAATCTATTAAAAGAGCTCTCAGACTCATGTGGTTATAGACCTGGACATAGTAATCTTACTGTTGCTGTTTTACAAAGAGATTCAAAAGATGATTTATTAAATGAGGAATTGGACAAAGAAGTATTATTTAAATGTAATTGTACCTTTAGTTAGAATCTTTGTAATCTCATACACCTTCTGCAACCTTAGCTAAACCTAGTCCATTCAGTTTATAAATCTAAAGTCCTTTCTATTATCATTTAGCTTAAGAATTATATCAAATTCTTTCCTAATATAATGAAAAACAATCAGAATATTTATAAAAACAATAGTTAAAAATTCATATAGATCCATGGGACTTTTATTAATATTTTGATTGTAAACCAATAATTTAAATGATAAACTTATTTAATTAGTAGAATAGACGAGAACACGAATTAGCAGTTTTAGTAGATTTCTCAGTTAAAGCATTTAAAGACGAAATAATTTGTCAACTTAAAAGTATGAATAAGAAATCAATATTTAAAGGCTCTCCAAACGAAACTCTTAGTGATCTTCTTGCGTTTTCTTGCTAAATAAAAGAATTCGAAGGAAAATCTTTTTCGGAATATTATTATGAGAAAAAAAATGAATTATAAGGAAATGAATTTAAGACAATAATATTAGAAAGTTTAGCTAGATTTTATGAACTATATATGATTCATTTAAGAATGACAGATTAATTGCTACAATACAAAAAAGATTATATTTGATTGAGTATAGCAATGTAATTTATATTAATAAATAAAAATTATTACCTCTCTTTTGAATTAATAGAAATTATTTAAAGTAAAGAATTGCATCTATATTAAAGAAATTCTAATTCTTATTTAATTTTTGTAGATGATTTAATATTGATTAAGGTGATTGCTTAAATTTAGAAGAGTTTTAATGAGTATTATAAATTATTAATACATTTAATAACTACTTAGATAGATCAGACAAATTAATATATCTAATATAAGTATACCTTTTAAGAATTCTTGTTTTAATCTAAAAGAAATTACAGAATTATTTATACTAATTAATGAAAAAAAAATATTAAAAATTAGAGGAACAATTTTTAGAATTCATTTGATCGATGAATGCTTTCAAATTTTATTTGACTGACAGATTCAAAATATATTTAATATATAATAATTTTAGAAAGTTTGCTAATTAGGTATCAAAACTATGATAAAGAGATGAATGCCTATTTTTTTAACAGGGGATGGTATCAATTAATAAAAATCAGAAAATTCTAAATAAAAATATGACAATTAGTGTGATTCAAAAGCCTGAGATATTTAAAATACAGATTACTTTTTCCTTTTAAACAAAATGGTTTTATTTAAAATCTTAAAAACTAATAAAAAATAACATAATTTAAAGGCAAAATATTTTGCTTTTCAACAGTATTTATTATCTCTTTGTATCCTTTCTCAAAATTCGATTCACATACTTATTGTAAGCTTTATTGTTTCATAGATTGATTAATAATTTAATATATTATATATTTTGAGAAGAAGCAAAGAAAGATTAAAATATTTTTTTCAATTTTATTTTTCTAAAAGCAACCACTCTTCACTATATAAGAGATATATAAACTTAAAACAAGAAGTTAGATTTTCACATGATAATTAAATTTTTTATCAATTTTTATATAAAGTCAAATTAGAAGTGTATTTAATTAAATGTAGTAATAATTAAATAATTAATTAATTGATTAAATATCTTAAAAAAAATTTAATTAATGATTATATTAATTTTACTTTGGGTATCCTTCAATGTGTTAAGCTAAATAAAAAATGATTTAAATTGCTACTATAAAAATGATGACACACAATTAGAAATAGATAATTCAAAGCCATAATTGAAAATGATTGAAATCTAGGCTGATGCAACTAATGGAGATACAAAAGGTTTTGGATTTTGGTCAAAATATATAGCAAATTCAGTTTTTTCTGAAGAATTTATATTGAATAAACCATTTGATGATCCAATTTGTCAAACAGAAGTCTGTACATTTCATGGTTTCTATTTTCTAAAATTGTTTGATGAGAATTAATTAAATTTTGCAGCAATAATTTTAAATATGAATGATAATCCAATAAGCTTAACACATGATTTTTATTTGTTTAATTAAGATTCAGAAATCATTGAGCAAGCATCAGTAAATTTTGTGGCAAGTTTGTATGAAAATATTTGGTATTACACTTTATTTCTTTATTCAAAAAATGATCAAAAACTCAGATTTTATACTAATTTCAATAATTAATTATTCATATTCTAATATTAGATAATTACACAAAAAATTTCAATAATTTTAGGTGGATATGATACTGATCTTTCATAAAATTTTGTTTATAATTTAGGTCCTTTACTTTATTTTAAAGGATATTTTTCTCCTATTCAAGAATTTAATACTTTTTTTTATAATGATAACACTTTTGATAATTTATTTTCTTATTGTCCTTTATAAGATTAAAAAACAATTTTAGAAAAAAGTGATTTATATAGACTAATAAATTTTTAGAGCATTTAAGATGATTTTTTATTGTCAGCATATACATTCATACTAAAAAATTAGAGATACACAATTTAATGTTGGCTTAAACAAAATTATATTGAAGTATATAATAATTTTTTCGATAGGCTTTTGAGTATTATTTAAAAAAACAAGGTTAAGCATATTACTATCTAGAGCAATCGCCTTTTTCACTTTCATAAATATATAATATAAGAAATAGAAGGATGGGAGATCAAATGATTGACTTTTATTATTCAGTATAAAATATTTGAAAAAATAGGTTGACTTTGAAAATAATAATTAAACTGTAATACATTTTAAAGCAGAATTCATAAAAATTCCTTTCTCTGTTCCCTTATACTAAGATGAAGAATTAAGTAAATATGATACATTGGCAATAAATAAAGATTATTTTTATGATAAAACTTAATAATGGCATTATGTTGTAATTGATTAAGGAAGAAACCCAATTGATGGCGCAAAAATGCAAATTCGTTTTTATTTTTTTAATGAAAAACCATTAATATATGAGTTGGGAACATACAATTACAACTATTAATTTTCAGGATCCATAGTTTTGTTTTCGATTTTATAAAGAGAATAGAGTTCTTTTCTAAAAAGCAGAACTTAAATTGGATGGTTAATTTTTATAACTGGATAATTAGAAGATAATAATGATAGTTATGGTAATTATAATATAAAATATTGATAGAATGTCATTCAAGCTGCAAGGACTGCAACGGTCCAACAAAATACAACTGTATTTCTTGTTAAATAGAGTTAAATTACTTTTTAACTTAATTTAATTCATGTGAATGCTCATATCTTAATGAATATAACGAGAAAAGTTAAGGATGTGACCCGATTGAAGTTTCTCAAAGTTTAACCATTACAACAGAGTACTCACTTGATTAATATTGTTTTTTTGGATACTTTTTAGTTTAATTTTAGAATAAATACTTTTGCATATAATGGTATTTAATATTATTTATATACTTTTAGTCCTTTAGACCATTAAAGTGGTTTATAATGTGGAAATTGTTTTCATGAATCACTTACTTGGTATTAAAAGCCTATTTGTACTTTCGATTATTAATAAGAGAAGAACTCATATGCGTATATTAAATACTAAAGATCAAATATTGATATTGATATTTATTATATTGATAGTGAAATGGAACTGTAACTACTTGAAGGAGCAAGTGAATTCTGTGAAACTACTTAACTTGGGTGTTATTCTAGTATGAAATTTCATTTAGGAATATAAATAAGAATGAAATGTAAAACCAATAGATATTATGATTTTTATTAATGTTAAACTTGTGTTGAATCATGCATCATTTGTTAATCTAAGGATATTTGTTTAAATTGCATAGAAAATTATTATTTTAACTATTTGAATAAAATTTGCTAACCTTGCCCAAAAGAATGTAAGACCTGCTAAAATGCTCCTGAAAATTAATTTGGATATTTATGTGTGATATGCCAAGAGTAATTATATTAAGTAATATAGATAACACACTTTAAATCATTTAGGATAGTGCTAAAGATGTGGAATCTATTGTTAATATTGTAAAGAAGACTTTAATATTTAAACATAAGAATATTTTATAAGATGTTTAAAATGTATTGATACTTAGATAATGACAATTAGATTTAATGGAATTGATTGCACAATTGTTGTTATTCCTAATTGTTAATACGTTTTTTTAGTCTCTAAATCAAATTATTTTCAATATGATGCTTTCAATTATAATTTCTAACCTTCTAATGATTTATTAGATGAAAAACCTATTTGTGCATTATGTTAAGATAATTATTCTTATTTGTATGAATAAAATGCTTGCCTTGAATATGAAATTCAAATGTGCAAAATTGCTGTAATTAAAAACTTTATTTTTAATGGGATCGACTATGGACCTCAGCCAGTTTGTTTAAAGTCAGAAAATTAATATTCTTTATCTACAATAGGAGATGAATGTACAACTTCAATAGAAAATTGTTAATTGTGTTATACTAAAAAACTTAAGAGTAATGCTTATTGCCTTTAGTGCCTCTAAGGATATTATTCCTCTCGTTTAACTGGATAATGTTAAACATGCCCTGAAAACCTGCATTGTAAAACCTGTTATCATTCCACAATTGGATATAATGATGAATGGAAGATAAATGTAATTATATTTATCCAATATCTCAGAATCTAAATGGATACTTCATATTTTGTAAAATAAATAAATTTATATTTTATAGTTTTGGAATTAGGATTAAAGTTAAAATTTAAATGATTATGAAATTATATGTAATTTTGCAACTAACACNTCTGTGAAACTACTTAACTTGGGTGTTATTCTAGTATGAAATTTCATTTAGGAATATAAATAAGAATGAAATGTAAAACCAATAGATATTATGATTTTTATTAATGTTAAACTTGTGTTGAATCATGCATCATTTGTTAATCTAAGGATATTTGTTTAAATTGCATAGAAAATTATTATTTTAACTATTTGAATAAAATTTGCTAACCTTGCCCAAAAGAATGTAAGACCTGCTAAAATGCTCCTGAAAATTAATTTGGATATTTATGTGTGATATGCCAAGAGTAATTATATTAAGTAATATAGATAACACACTTTAAATCATTTAGGATAGTGCTAAAGATGTGGAATCTATTGTTAATATTGTAAAGAAGACTTTAATATTTAAACATAAGAATATTTTATAAGATGTTTAAAATGTATTGATACTTAGATAATGACAATTAGATTTAATGGAATTGATTGCACAATTGTTGTTATTCCTAATTGTTAATACGTTTTTTTAGTCTCTAAATCAAATTATTTTCAATATGATGCTTTCAATTATAATTTCTAACCTTCTAATGATTTATTAGATGAAAAACCTATTTGTGCATTATGTTAAGATAATTATTCTTATTTGTATGAATAAAATGCTTGCCTTGAATATGAAATTCAAATGTGCAAAATTGCTGTAATTAAAAACTTTATTTTTAATGGGATCGACTATGGACCTCAGCCAGTTTGTTTAAAGTCAGAAAATTAATATTCTTTATCTACAATAGGAGATGAATGTACAACTTCAATAGAAAATTGTTAATTGTGTTATACTAAAAAACTTAAGAGTAATGCTTATTGCCTTTAGTGCCTCTAAGGATATTATTCCTCTCGTTTAACTGGATAATGTTAAACATGCCCTGAAAACCTGCATTGTAAAACCTGTTATCATTCCACAATTGGATATAATGATGAATGGAAGATAAATGTAATTATATTTATCCAATATCTCAGAATCTAAATGGATACTTCATATTTTGTAAAATAAATAAATTTATATTTTATAGTTTTGGAATTAGGATTAAAGTTAAAATTTAAATGATTATGAAATTATATGTAATTTTGCAACTAACACAACAGATAGTGTGATTAATATTATCTCTGAATAAATTATGTTCGATAAAGTTTAATTTATAAATAATTCATATTAGAATATTTAACAACTTCTTACAAATATTGATTGGCAATTCCCCTAAAATTTAGCAGTTACTGAATATAATTTAAAAAACATATTCTAATTTAAAAGTGCATATGGAAACTCTCATCTAGAAGCAGATCTTATTATCGTATAAAATAGCCTGATTGAAAGATCATAAGGAATTAATGGCATTGGGTTTTATATAAATGGATAAATAGTGAAATTGATTAACTTATAATTCAATAATTTAACTACTTTCTTCAAATATAATGAAGAAAATGGAGGGTGTCTTTTTATTAAGATACCAATTAGTGGATGTCAAATAGAAATGAAAAATATAACTGCCAAAAATATCATTACAAAGGATTATGGTAGCTTTTTATTTATTTAGTCTAATCATGATAGACTAAACTTGACAATTAATAATTTGACTTTTATAGAATGTATCTCTAAGAAAGGGTCAGCATTTTATGCAGCCTTCTAAAAAAACTCATTGTAAAACTTAATTAAACTTAAAAATATTGTAATTAAAAATAGTTAAGTTGCTCTTCTAAATTATTTGAAATATTTGATAGATAATTAAAATAATTAAAAAGCATTGTTGGATTTAAATAATCGAGTATTGATTTATGTTGAAAATACAATTCTGCTATTGGAGAACACATTGGTTGAAAAAATATTTGAAGAATCTCTTTTAGAGAGTTTAGATTAGGGTAATATAACACTAAATAAAATAAAAATTTTTAATGGAACTGTTACAAGAAAGAATATTATTTCTATTCAACCAAGAGAAGGTAAATTTATATATTTATTAATTAGACTTATCGATTTCAATTATAATCAAAGAAATTTAAATATAAAATGTAAGCTAAACTGAAGATTAAAATGAACAATGTTAAATTTAATAAATTACTTAAAAAATATATAATATGTAATGCAGCTCACAAGTTGATACATCAATAAAATAATTAATAATGAACGATGATAAGGATTAAACAGATTAAATTAAATGTTTGTATTAAAAATTACTTTCTGCAAAAAATTGATACATAAGAATCCGCACTAGCTGTAACTTAAATTAAAAGTAATGATTTGATTTTGATATCTGACATCTACTTTTCGAATAATAATTATTCAAAATCTGTTTGTGGACTCATTTATCTTTAAATAAATAAAAAGCTTTTTGACTTTTTCTCAATAGTGATTTAAGATCTAATAATGAATAATAATTTTTGTGGTAAAGTAGGATGTATCTACATCAATTCCAATGTATTTGATGAAACTTCAACACTTGAATAATAAAATAGATTGCTTGCATCAAATATTGTATAGACTTTGTAACTAACTAATCATGATATAATTATTTAGAATTATTAATGTTTTGAAAATGTTGCAGATCTTGGAACTTGCTTATTTTCTAATCAAACAAATTTAATAATAAAAAATTCAATATTTTATAATAATCAAGCTATAATTATTGGCGGAGCTATGTATTTTTGTGGAAATTAATCATTTTAATTTATTGTAAATTCTAATGTTTATAATAACAGTGCAAATATAGCTGGAGCTATCTATTTTGAAGATAGCCTTAGATAAGATATAAAAAAATACAATTCCTTAGTTTTTGATAATAGAGCTTCATACTTTGGATAAAACATTGTTTCAACTCCAACCCATTTATCAATTACTTTAAATAATTATCAATATATTTACAACACATTTGTTGTTGAAAAAACTATTTATAATATGATAGAATCAATAAATAATACAAATTAAATAAAATAGAATACTATATTTTTACCTAGTGGAACTCCTATTAAATAATACAAAAGGTTTAATTAAAATAAACAAGAATTAGAATCCTAAAATTTAACTTTAAGAATTGTAGCTTTGGATGATTAATATTTTAAATTAAATAATTTAAATAATTCAAAATGTAGCCTTGAACCATTTATTGTTAATATTGAAAATAATAAAATTCAAGAAAACTTAAATTAATAATTAATTAGTTAAAATACTGTCACTTTTGATCCTATTTCTAATGATTATAATTTAGATAATTTGATAATCTATTTTGATAGTAAAAATACTAATAAAACATATTTAAAATTAGTTATAACATGTTCAAGCATTTAAATACCTATATATGATGAAAATAATTTAATAATTTAGTCTTTTCATAATAATTATTAATTATTTGTAAATATTAATACTTTAAAATGCCGCGTAGGTTAAATTAAGTCTCTTACAGATAATTCTTGCCATGAATGTGATCCAAATTTAGATTAATATTCAAATTAACTTAATTTAAATAAATGTTATATAAGAGATGAATAATCTACCATAAGTGTTACATCATTTGGATTGAATTTGCGTTAGGTAATAATCAAATGAAATATTATTAGGGATTTTGGAGACCTTATTTTGACAATAATTTTATTGAAGAATGTTAAAATTTGAGGATAAATTGTTTAGGACAATGGAATTTTGGAGATAGTTCTTGTTATACAGGTCACATAGGGGCCCTTTGTGAACAGTGTGATATTTAAAATATTAGAGGGGATGGATATTTTTCATAAGCTTAATAATATTCTTGTGGATCATGTGAGGATATTAACTATAATATAGCATAAATTATAGGATTCAGCATTTGGTAATCTATAATTAATATTAAGGTCTCTTATTACAATTATTTTAAGTGTTAAAGGGGCCAATTCAGTTTAAAATTAATAATTAGAATTGTCTAATATAATTAAAAATATTTATTTGATCGAATCACCTTACTTAATAAAGATTCTAACAAATTATTTGTAAATCATTAGTTCATTGACAACTTTCAAATTAAATTTGCCAGTAAATTTTTTCTATTTTTTAAATGGTGTTGGCAATCCAATTCAACAAATTTCTTATTCTTTGGATTGTTTTTTGAGTAAAAAAAATATTTTTATTAAATAGATAATTTGACATCTCTGGATATTCATTATATAAGATTAATTTGGTAATTAATACTACCTTGTATATATTTTACGATACTTTTAATTATTTATTCGATTTTAATATTTGTTGGATATACTAAGTATAAAGGACCAATTGTAATGACAAGTGTTATTTACATGTATATCTATTTTTAGCCAAGCATTATAGGATAATTCATAGCTCTTATTTCAACAAGAAGAATATCTGATATTCCTTGAATATAAGCTAATGTTTCATTTCGATTTGATACATCTATGCATTTAAAATGGGTTCTTTCTTTTTGTATACCCTTTTTATCTCTTTTTGGTATTTTAATACCACTTTTAATGTTTTTTAGTTTGTTTAAAATCAGAAACAAACTTATTTATAAAAGAGGTAAAAGTTTACTAGGCTTTTTATACTATGAGTATAAACCTAATGCGTATTTTTGGGAAATTGTTAAAATCATCACTAAAGAATTATTTATTTTAGCCTTAATTTATTATGAAGACTCTATCATAATAAAAGGATCCTTAATCCAAATTATTCTTTTATGTTACTGGTCTTTGAATCTTAAATATTAACCATTTATATCCACTAGATTAAATCTGCTAGATTATTAGACAACAATTATTTGCGAAGTTTCTATCCTTATTGGAATTGCTTTAAATATTGGATAAGATTAGGAATTTTTCAACATTTCAGTTATATTCTTTTTTGCATTACTTCTAATAAATATATTTATGCTGTCTAAACTTTTACTCTATATTTTTAATGCATATATGAATGAGATGGAAAATACAGTTGATTTAATTAAATCTACAATTTAGTAAAATTTGCCAGAAAAATTAAGGAGAAATTATTATTGTTTAAGAATATTAAAAACAAAATTTGAAAGCAGATAAAGAGCTAAAAAAAATTTTTTGAAATTAAAATTGGCTTATAAAAAATATTTAGCAAAGAAAAAATCATCTCCTTTAGTTATTTTATATAATACGATAAATTCTTAATAAATTTCTTAACGAATAAAGTATAAGCATTAATATATTTAGCACTTTAACAGAACGAGAAAATCAATTGAGTTAATAGAATTTAATCTCCTAAGTTAAATCTTAAATTTAAAGATATTGAAATAAATATTAGTTGATAGATTCCAAATGATTAATTATTATATTTTAGCAAAATTTAATTTATTACTTTTATAAATTATTAGTTAGAAATAATCAATAATCATTTATTTATTAGGGAAAAGAGTTTTCTTAATTATTTTGGAGTATAAAATTTCATTTGAAATATTGAAATAATTGCTAATCATTGTTCTTAAATGCTTTTTAAAGCTAATGTTCAATTATGTAAATAATTTCTTATATTTCAATTCTTTCTAATTATCATTAACAATAATAATTTGGTTAGATTAATTTATAGAAAAAGAAACAATTTATTTAGTATATATTGAATAAATAAATGAATTCATAATTATTTCAAATACTTTAATTTACTATTTTCAAGGCTTCCCTAATTTATTATTCTTTTAGTTTCTTTAATTTCGAGATGAGATATAAATTCATTATTAAAGACTATAATTCCTTTATATTCAGTTTTTATTGAAATGAACCAAATAAATTTTTCATAAAATAGGGATGACTTAGTTTAGATGGGTAATTTGATAGAAGAGATTTGATAAATGTATAAGAATTGTAATTGTATGATTAGTTAATTTATATTTTATTAATAAAAATTTGACATATATATGTTGGATAATCGTACTTCTTATTTTAATGTTTAAGGAAATAAAGCTAACTTTATTTAGAATAATAAATTGTTTAAATCACTTAAGTTAAAAGGATAATAAGCAAAATCAAAATCAAAAGAACCGATTCGAGGATAACTGAAAACATTAAAAAGAATAGAGGATATAATTGATGAACCTTAAATGCAGCAAAGGGCTTTGACAACATAAAAAAAATTGGCTCCTTTAATTGAGGAATAAGAATAAAGAAATGAAGAGATAAATCCAATGAGATACAATTTAATGCAATTATTAGTATTGATGGGAAAAAAGGAATAATATTTTGATAAATTAGTTAAAGATGATTTCAAATTAATAAGAGTAACAATTCATTAAAAGGAAAGTGTGGAAGATCATATTTAAAAAATTAAAAAATTTTTAAGCAATAAAGTTCGTTATAAGTATAGAAGTAGTTTTAAAATGCAATGTATAAAGTACAATATTTTTTAAAGTCTAAATATAGTTAGAACTATTGAAGTATGTTCCTAAGAAAAAATCAATTGCTATAAAAAACAGTTAAAGAGATTATGAAGTTGATGAAGATGAAGACAATTCTAAAAAAAAGAAAATAAGTGCAAGAGGTTATTAAGATTTTTCTCATTGGAAGAAAAAGAATAATGTTTAACAAAATTAGAAAGTATTTATAATAACAAATGGTTATCATGCATTACGAGATTCATTATTAGAGAGAAATTGGGCAGAAAATGAGGATGCATATAGTCCATTTTTTGATTTAAAATGGACATGTGGATTGAGAAGTGATGATTTTTAAAATTTGATGGATTTTTAATAGATAAATCATTTTGATTCAAATTAATGTCTTTGTTCCAAATATGGTTTAGCTAGAAATATAAGATGTATATAAAATTGGGAGTCATTTTTTCCTAGATGTTATGATTTAGGTGATTTAGTTGATTTTTCTGATTTCATAGAAGATTTTAAAATATCAAAAATACATAGTATGTTATTAGAATTTGATTAAAATTAAAAAAACAATTAAAATAAGAAAGTTATTACAGAACCATTTGAAGAAGAAGATAATAAAAATATATTACGATTAAAAGACTTTAAAAATAATACGATTAGAGTAAGTGAAGATAAAAAATAAACATTTACAATGAATTATAGAGATAGATTCAAAATACGTTTATGTTTGATGATTTTAAATAGAGTAGTTTGTTAATTAGGTAATATGGTAAAAAATATATTGAGAGATGAATATCCATTTGTTCATTCTGGGGAATGGTTATAATTAATAAAGGAACCTGAAAAACCTAAAGAATTATAAGCATAAGAATAAATAGAAATGATTCTAAAAGCTAATGGATATGATGATTTCGAAGGTGAGAAATTTAATAAGAAATATGGTTCTTAAATTAAAGAATTATTAAAATAATTAAATAGAAATCCTCAAAATTCATTATAAGGAACTAGAAACATTTGGATTGTTAAGCCAGAATATTCTTCAAGAGGTAGAGGTATAAAATGCTTAGATGATTTAAATTAAATACTTGATACTGTAAATAAAGAAACCATGAATTATGTTGCCATGAAATATATAGAGAATCCATTAATAATTAAGAATAGAAAATTTGATATTCGTTAATGGGTATTGGTTACTGAATTAGTTCCACTAAAAATATACTTCTATAGTGAATGTTATATAAGATTCTCTGCAGAAGAATTTAATATTGATTAATTTCATAATAAATTTGCTCATCTTACTAATAATGCAATTGCAAAGCATTCTTAAAAGTTTTATGAATCAGATATTAAAGGTAATATGTGGACATAAGAAGAATTACAATAATATCTTTTTGAAGAAAATGGATGGGATGTTTTTACAGAAAAAATACAACCTAAATTTAAAGAAATTGTAATAAACAGTTTAAAATGTTGTAGTGATCAAATGAAAAATAGAAAAAGATCTTTTGAAGTTTATGGCTATGACTTTATGATTGATGATCAATTTAATTCTTGGTTAATTGAAGTTAATATGTCACCTTCTAGTGATACAACAACACCTGTTACTGCTCAAATAATACCTAAAATGTTAGAAGATATTATGAAAATAGTTGTAGATAATTAAAATAAAACTAAAAAGAAGGTTGGAGGATTTCAATTGATTTATAATAGTGATACTAAATTATTATGATTGTTTTGCATAATTAGCTATTCAATTTTTATCTCAATTCTTGACATGAGTGAAGTGATGAAATGTTTTAACAAATTCATCAGTTTTATGAAATGGTCTAACTTCATTTACAGGTTTTGATTGGTAAATTATTCCCTATCCTTATTTCTCAGAATAAAATGTTATAGGTTTTGCTGTTAAATATGATTCTTATGGTAAAACAGATGCCAATTATTAATCAGTTGACAATTGAGGTCTATCATAAAGTAGTTTTTTAAGTGATACTTTTAATAAAATCCCATGTCGCTTAATAAATCAACATCTTTTTTGTCTCCATCTATTGCAGTTCCATTTTATGTTCTCATAACTCTTCTTCCTATTGTATTATTTTCTATTGGTTTCTAATACATAAGTATTTACCCTTACCTAAGTGAATTCCTATTTGCATGTTGTTTCAAAATATCTCTATTATGTTTAACTGAAACTGTCTGCCTCACGAGAGTCTAATTCTGTCTAAATTTATTATAAATATTATTATTCTATTAATTAGGCTTTCTTTCCAACTTTAGGTATTAAATCAGCCCTATTTATATTGCCTCCAACGCTTTTTATATATATAATTATTACTTTTAGGAAGCTGGTTTTGGAATATCAGGTTATATTTTACCAAATAAACGAGTTGTTGTATCTAGCTAATTTACTTGTTCTTTATAAAGAGAAATTTCTTCGGGAGGTTTTAACATCAAATCAGCATGCTTCTTTTTTATATGTTAAGGAACAGGGGCTCTTCCAAAACCAGTATCCTCTTTTAATTATGCTTCTTCATGCCAATTTGACATTAATGTTCCAGAAACAAAAGTATTTGCTCCTTTAGCTACACTTCCTGCTGTTTGAGTTTTATTATAGCAATCCAATTTTGTTTAATTCATATTCATTATTATATAATAATTATTAATTAAAAAAATTTCATATTTATTTCATATTTATTTTCTTCATTCAATATTTACAATCAATGGAATTTTTATTCATCATATACTTTAATTCTTTTTAAATCAAGTTTAGTTATTAGATATAAATGTAGAATATTATCAAATAAAATTTAATCTATATTAGACCAAATTTTCTTTTATTTATCTAATTACAATTCTTTTTATCTTTTGTATTGACATATTTCAATTAAATTTTGATTTTCAGAAATTC